ATGAAGGCTAGATATTCGGCTCGTATCCCAGATCAAAAGAAACCAGAGACGCATTTCTGAAACATAAGAGATTCTTTTTTTTTTTTGGGGCCTGAAAACATAAGAGATTCTATCCAATGTTCCCAAAACATCAGAAGCGCTGAAAAAACTGATGTTTTGTTAGTTATCATTTTGAATTACTTCAGGAAGAAATGAGAAAAGCAGATCCTCAATCCATAAATTTCAGTCGCTTCTTAATGTGAGAAATTCACGCCGGTAATACCCGGGGAACAAGGAATCTCAAAAGTAAGAATCACAGAAAGAGATCCCATCTTGTTCTTTTGCTCGAGTATGCCATGAATTCCTGTGCAACCTCTTTTCTTTTGTTCAATCTAAGACATAAGTTCAAAATTTTTCTCACTTCTCTTCATTTTTCGGAATAAATAAGTAAATCAATCAGAATTTCTTCAAAGGAAAAAAAAGAAGAAGAACAAACTATATCAGAAACGTATTGAATTCATCACAAATCAGCCACACTCTCTAATATGGCGTCTACGTCTGGAGTTATAATAACATGTTTGCTGATTTCCCCGACAGTGCAACAATTTTTCTCAGCAGAATTGACCACAACAGCATCTTGGGCAAACACACACTCCATGCCAGAGGAAATCTGCAACCATTTGGGAATAACACACAAAATTAAGTTCAAAGAGATCATCACATCAGTTCACTTGAAAGGAATGGAAATTTCAAGAGTGATAACGCAATTATGGGTTTTGCACGTGACTGAACACCTAATGCAAACTTGGATCTACTCCTCTAATTTAGCTTCCGGATGCAATACTTACATCATGCAGAGTATCACCAAGCTTCAGCTTTACTGCACCACTCCTGTATACGAGCAGTTTACCTAACAATCCAGATGGTAAATCGTCCAGATTACACGGCCTTTCCACAGGTCTGGCCCCTACAGGCTTTTTGGAGCTTGAAGGTGCGTCTTGGTCTCCTGCAGTAGCTGATTGTTTGATCATAGGCAAAATTTGTGGCAACCGAACCAAAAACAAACTTGCCTCTGGATTCTCCTCCTACCAGCAAGTTACTCAGAACATTAATATTTACGATAAATAAATTGACCTAGAATATAAAGAAATGATTATTTTTGTCCTGATTTCAGATTATTTACCAATAGTCCAAGCTCTGTTGCTGGATTTGATGAATTTTCATCATAAGCTGAGGATTCTGCAGCCTCCCCAAATTCCTCCTCATCAAGAAGTTCTATTACATCATTGCAAATGAAAGACAATTGATATTGCATAAAACAAAATGCCTTCGAAATAACTAAAACAAATCCTCAACTCTGACAGAACAAAAATCATGTTCACAGTTAACAAAACATGAAATGGACCAGAAGTCTACAACATTTATACTTCTGTAGCAGGCTGACAAGTCGAGACGTTGACATCAATGACTATGGTATAAAAATTTCCTTACATTACTTTGGTCAACTTTTCTCTCGAGCTTTTCTTGGAATATACCTGGGTTTCCCAAATAGGGCCTCCTTAAAGGAAGAGTAACTGGATAATAACTGTAATAGTCCTGCAGCAAAGTCCTCAAAGCTTAACTCAAAGAAGAACAAGCACGCACAAATGTGCCTCCAAATATACACATGCAGGAAACAGATAAATACGCGAATACAATATCCTTTTTATTTGACTCAGAGTGTGCTTACCCATGGTTCTTGGTATTCTTTCTCTCTTACACCTGTGGTAAAAGAATCCCAGAAAAACTGTTATTACAGAGACAATGCGGGGATCCAATAGGCCTGAAGGGATATGAAAGACTGCCTGGATTGCAACGTACCACCGAAGGCTGAACTCTGAGAACTTCCACTTAGACTTCCACCCCAGGGAGTGCCATATGATTTGATTGAAGCTGATGCACCTCCAACACCAAAAGCAATTTGCGAAGCTGACACTGCCAAAAAATAAAAGATGAACAACTAAGTTTTAGAAAACAAAATCAAAAGAATAATGCCTACATTGATGAAAACTTCACCTTGCAAAGCATCATTCACTTTGACTTTTGAGATTTCTATGTCTTAAGTGATAAGGGATCAATAAACCAGAGACACAAAGCATTTAAATTGTGACTTGAACTTCACTTTTGATGTGTAACGAATCTACAAAGGTACCTAATAAAACAAATTTCTGATTCATTTACTCCGATTAAACAGAAGTATAGAGTCTATTTGACAGTGAAGTTGTCATGAACCAAAAGAAGGATTAATCGTAGGCTTAACATGGTAAGAAATTGATAACAGAAAACCAGCCTCAGCTCGATACAATGAAATTACATAAAATGGATCAGAGATCTAATAACAGAATGAAGAAACAGACTAAACCTTTTTTCTCAACCTTAGGCTTTGCTCTCATTGAACTCTCCTGCAAAAAATGAAGAAATTTTCAACAAGGCATAACAGAGTGAAAAAGAAAATTGAATTAGGAAAACTAATGAAAACGAAAGTACAAATACATTAAAACGGCGCAGCAAGTCCCTGGCCTGAACAGCATCCGCATCATCAACAACTTCACTAATGAAACAACCCAGTTAGGAGCAGAGCAGTCAAGAGGATAATTAAATTGAGATGTGTCACTAAATAACAAAATGTCACAAACGTTTTAACTTCAGCCTTTGGCACTCGACGAGGAGGAGCTTTCGGTGCAAATTTTACCTGCAACAGTTCAAGTTATTCATAAAATATCCAAAGAGCACAACAAAACAATAACAAATGAAGAGTTGAATAATAAACGCATTCAAAACTACCTTCCTTGGAGCAGGAGGTTTGCCTTTTGAAACGTCTGAATCCATAAGAATATTTTTTGATCCTTGACAAAAGTAAAAGAAACATCAGGCAAATGTTATATTGCATAAGCCTGAAAACACAATGATTGATCAAGGACAAGTGAGAAGCTAACATTGGTGTTGATGTATCAGATCATTGACTCAAATCAAATACATTACTAACGGTTACGACTAACAAGCTCGTCTATGGTTATTTCAAGCGTGCTATTTTGAAGTGAAAATCCGAACCAATGCACGATACCATACCGGTTCGCACTAGACGCAGACGGTGGATATTTCTCCTCTGGCCTACTAAAGTGAGCGTGCAGTGTTGAAGGAAATTGTCAAAAACCCTACACGACGTGAGAGCAAAAATAGCGCACGTAGTCTACAAGCCTGAAACTTGGCAGAACCGACGCTTTGGGTTCTTAAGTAGATGGTGGGCTTTGCTGATTGACTTCAGACGCCATGAATTCTAGGTTAACTTTGCATATATCAACCATATTTTATAAAGTCAATGAAAAAATTTAAAACAATCTAATTAACACCAATATAAAATACTATAAAATTAAAATTAAAAATCTATCTTTGATATTTGATATGTTAATATATTTATAAAAAGAAGATACATGGTCATATGTAATTAGAAAACTTAATATAATGAATATAGTCTCTAAAATATTATATATGTAATATAATTCTATTTATGATATAAAAATTCACATATATTTGAATTATTATCTTAACATTTAATTTGATATTTTAAATTAAGAACTATAAATTAAATGTTATATTCTGAAAATTCTTTTCTTAAAGTGCTCTTTGCTTTTTTTAAGATCGTTTTTGGGTAGTTTACGTTAGCAGTAAGACCCTTTATCACACTTAGATGAGGTTTTAAGTTCGAACCCAACATTAATATTTGTGTGTGTGCATTTAATTTTGTTGTATTAAATGAAAAAGGTAATATTACAATTAAATATATTCCTTCCAATTCGTAATATAAGTTGTTTCTAGGAGAATGATTTGGTTTCAAATATAATTTACTTGAAAAGTATTTAATTCTTATTCATGAAATTTGTTCCTGTAATTAATATTTAAATCTTCTTATGTTCTTTTCTCTCATTTACATCCTCATTTAATATAGGTAAAGTTAGAACAAAATGAACTTAAAACAAATTTAATGAGTCAACTATCAATTTTTTGATATTAATGACTTGGTTAAAGCAGTACATTGTGGATTGGAGAGAGGGAGTTTGATATGTATAAAACATCAGTGATTTTCCCCTATGTGCTACTTGAGACTCAAATAAATACTTCTTGAATTCTTAATATAAGACCTATTTAACTAATCTAATTAGATTAAAAAAGTCAAGTAAGTTAATAAGTATAAAAAATATAACACGTTTTTTCTAAAATATTATAATCATATTTCTTAATATCCTCCCCTTCTCACTTACTTGATTATGGTTGAAAGAGTATCAATAAAAATAATCATCTTCCCTTAACCAAATGTCGAGGGTTCGATCCTTGCCTTGGGCATGGAAAAGCTTTAAAACCCCGGACTAGCTGTCCCACCTATCGAGGTGCCTACAAGCCAGCGAAGGGATTAGTCATCGGGTCCGCCGGTGGATACCCTGATGTTTCATCAAAAAGAACAAAGAAAAAATGATAAATATAAAAAATAAGTTTTATATTTAAAACTAAAATTAACTTAACAATTTAGTTTTATATTAAAAATCAAAAGAGTAACAAAAACACGCAATTACGATTATTGTTCATTTAATGAACTATTTAATTGCGATTGAAATCCAATGATTAGAATATCATTAGATAGATTTCGTTAAAAAATGCTAAAAGGGTTAATATGGTCGTCGTCGTCGCCGCCGTCGCTGGGAGAACGGAGAAACTGCAGAATCAGATAGCTAGGATAGAAAGCTTCATCGCCAACAGGAAATTTGGTAACCTATGGTCACCAAAATTGCAAACGAGAGTCACCGTTCCTCAGGTTCCCGGAGGTTGTGATGATTCCTTCATGAAGCAATGAAGTTTGCCGTTGGAATGATGGCTAAGGAATGAGAACACAACCAAACGAACAGAAAATACCTAGTCTGTCTGAGATTCTAAACCGTTAGAAGACGACCCTTTTGCCGCCAATAAGAGTGACGATGTAATGCTCCATAATATAAATTTAATCATTACCAAATCAAGATTCAAGAATCAATAATAAAAACTAAGGAGATGCGCGTGCAGCAGTTTGATCAATAAGAGGAAAACACAATATACTACCTTTGGTTCTAATTATAAGACTTTGTTTGTAGATTATAAATGAGGTCATATAATTAACAACGGAGGTAGCATGACATATAGATTTAGATGACTATATACTTGAAAAGACATTGAATCACAATTCTTCCCACTGGGGGGAATTTGAAGGACGCAACAGCTCTGTTTCTTTTGGCAACAAACACAACCAGAAGAGCATCTGGATAATCCTTGCTGCTTTCTCCCTCACCTCTCTTAGCAAGGCCTAATTTTTTTCCCACTTCACCAGCTAAACCAAAGGTGATCCAGGTGGCTGCATGCAATAATACAAAATCACATAGAAGCTAGACAGCATGGTATTCAACTTTTTGGGTCCAAGAAAATTGAGAAGGAAAGCTTAATCTGGACGCTTCCCTTGAGTAAAATCCAACCTCTCTTTCTTTTCTTCTCGATTCTCCTAGATTCAAACATTACTTGAGGGAAGAGAACAGACAGTCAAGTAACAGGCGAAAATAGAACCCATTCGGTCTCCCTAATTCCTCGTAGGCTGCCCGGCTTGTTGTTGTACAATGAGTTGGGCGAACGCAGTAGCATACAGAACAGCTGTATGTTGCGAAGTATATTTATCCAACAGACCATATTCTGCGTAATTTGGTTCCACGTGCATGAATTGACCTGGTAATGATTTTTTTGACACTATTTCTCGCCACATGTTAAGGAATTCTTCCATAAGCTGCCTAGATTTCTCCATGGATGAAATGGGGAGATACTCAAACTGCAGAAAACTTCAAACACATTAAACATAGAACAACTATAAAAAAACCCAACAAAACTATGATTAGGACAAATAATTCCAAGGGAATGGTAGATTAGGAGGGGGAAAAAATTCTAGATATTCCACTTTGTTTTCCACCACAACAAGAAATGGGCTGCTCACAACACCATTTTTATATTCACTAGCCCACTTAACATTACAGATTTCCAAGAGCACATTCTTAGTCAAATAGGTTGTGATCAAGCGGCACAAGGAAAACAATCCCAATGATATATTATACAGGAGGACTATCCATGTTACCGATTCTTGTTCAAAACCTCAACTACAATCAACTTTATATATTAATTGCGGCATGTGACGGAAAAGACCTATCTAAAAGCAAACACGCTATTACAATCTCCCACAAAATCCAATATCGAAGTTGCCAGATGTACCACCGTCATTGTCAGTTACAGATTCTTGTTCTGGAATAATGGGAAAAATCAAGTAGTGGATCCAGTGCATCAATTCTTCGCCATTTTTCACCATACTTTCAAGCAGTCTTAGTCAGATGGAAACATAGAAGTCATGTATAAACACCAAAATTCTTTTCCTCTCCCCCCACCAACAAAAAAATAATCAAGAAGTCAAAAGGAAAGAAGTGTTTTTCTTTGGAAAGTAAAACAAATGACACAGTTAATTCAGAATTGACGAAAACTGAATGCTGAGCATAGATGGAAGAAAATGAATTCTGCATGACATGTATGCTTCTGACATATAGAGCATGGTATAGATTACAGCCCATCCAGCAACTTCTAACAATTTCTTAAATTCTACAGCTTTCTAACGAAAGCAAATACCAAGCATGTATCGATCTCAAGTAGATACAAACAGAAACAGAACTAGAGAAAGGTGGGTGGGTGTGTGTGTGTGTGTGTGAGATCAAGGTTCATGTTTTCTTACCTCCATCACAATTCCTCTCAGGCTTTCAGAAGTACTAGTGGCAACTTTTCCAACTTTCAGCTGAAAGTCACCAAGTTTATACACCACACCCTGCACCATTAGGATAAACATTTAGAAACACTTCAGCACAAACATAATAACCACCAAGCTCACAAGTCCAAAAGGGAATATTTCTGTCAATCAAAAATATTTATAGGAGCATGCCAACTTTCAAGACAAGCAAACCATCAAATTTGCAAAACTACCTCGAAATTGAGTGCCACCTTGGACTTGTACGATTGCAGCTTCTCCATTATAGTCAGAATTGAAGAATCTGCTTCAAGAACGATCCTCTGGCCGCGAATTATGAAGTAGTATTTGTGAGGTTGCTCTAGAAGCGATATCCCCAGAAAATCACGCGGAAATTCGGCCTGCAGCGACGGGTCTGAGTACAATAACAGCATTATTCAGAATTGAGGTGGCATGATTTCGGGAACGGAGGGGTTTTAATGAATAAGACTTCAAAGTTCAAACATATTAACAATGCCATTAGACAAGAACCTCGTAAATTGGGTCGATAGAATGTTAGAGTCGCTTTCCATCTTCCGTCTTTGACACCATTGATGCTCTCAACGCACTGAGAAATTTCATTAAGAATTTGGCTATTCACCAAAGTTCCTGCGTTGGGCTGCCAGTGCAAAACCCTTAAAACAAAACCAAAAAAGAAAAACGAAAGATTAGAAATTTGACTATTGGTAGGGTACTCGTAAAAGAATCGAAAATAAGGGAAAAACCCATCATTTGATTTCGTTAATACCATTTGACAGTCATCCTCCAGCTTGAAGGAAGCACCACTAGCACTTCCGCTCTGTAAATTGCTAGGCAGCGCCGCTTCTCACTCGCGAATCCAGAAGGCAGCGAATGGATTTGCAGTTGCAGGGGCACCACCCAGCATGTTACGTCGTCGTTTCAAGAGGATCCGACTAGACCCAGTTTTAAAAATTGCGAGTCCGGCTCTGGCCCGGCAAGAATGATCCGGCATATGGGCTGGTCAGGCCTGGGTCCATATTATTTTTTCGAAAGTCCTTCACAATACCACTGATCTCTGCAAACCCCAGAATAACTGAGACCTAATGAAAATACATTAAAAAAAAAATATTAATTTTCTCGGCAAGCACATATTAGCATATACACTTGTATTATTACTATTTCTTCTGCGGGAAACCTTTTGTTGGGGAACCTTCCTTTGTTCATCATTGCAAACTTTTGCAATGCAATTTATAAGCAGAATAACCAACTTAAGTACTCTATTGTAATTGTCTTTTATGTATGTGTGTATATATATTTTTTGTTTCCACTTAAAAAATTGCAGAGGGGAATTACTCATGCATGCTTCGAAAATACTACTTCTGGGTCTTAATATAAGACCTCGTTTGATTTTTATTTTGATTCTAATTATAAGATCTCAATTCACTTTGTCTCTTATATTTATGTATTTTTTTTTCAAAATAGTCCCTCTAATAATGGTAGTTCTAATCAATAAATTTAATTAGTAAGGATATTTTAGGAAAGACAACACATATTTTTTACAAATAACTAACTTACCTTATTTTCTTAATCTCCTCAAATTAATCAACTAACTCTTATAATTATAATCACTCTTATAATTATAATCGGAGGTAGTATCTTATCTGCACTTTAGTCATTTTTTTAATAAAATTTATTAATTTATGCGGGATTACACACACACTATGGTAGTTCTTTTAACACCCTATAAATGTCAAAATTTTCTTGCTACGTATTTTAACGTATGTGAGGACGATTTTCAACCCAAATCATGCCCATTATCATATGATGTCCGAAATTAAGGAGCATCATATTTTGTTTAGCGATTGTTGATATATATATATACTCATATAATTTCAAATGAGTAATTTAGCTTATTAAATTAAAAATAACTTGGTTACCAGACAAGTACGTAACACTCTTTTTGTTGGCCTCAGGTCCGTTATAGTGTTTAGCATCGTTATTATCAGTATAGATAAATATTTCTTTTCAAAAAATTAATAAACAAAATACCCGCCAAAGACTGTAATTTCCATCTGATGATGCAGGAGGAGGAACAGGGGAAGGAAAAGAACAGATAAAAGGCATGGAATTAAATGTCAGGTGAGGTAAATTACAAAACAATAATTTAGAATAATATAAATGACAGAAAGAACAGAACTGAAAAAGCTACACAGAATTAGAATTAGCATTGGCATTCCACTGCGTTACACATTGGACCCCTTCACGGAGACACATCCATTTGATCTTGCATTTAAACACATTCTAGAGAAAAAGACCGCCTGACAGAATCTGATGAACCCCACTTAGTTCATCTTACATTATTGGCCTTTCATTCAGGGACCACATTCTTGAAACCTCAAGCATCTGCAAAAATCAATGGAAATTTTTAGAGATATGACAGGAGAAAAAAGTGGTGTTGGGTATGTGTGTTTGATTAATTTTTTTACCTTGGTGGGTTCTGAAATTGAAGCTTGGAAAACGGCCATGGTCAGAGGTGGTGGTGGGAATGGAAATTGAAAGCTGGGTTGTGGATGATTTGTCGTCCAGATCAAGCCACGAGTTTTTGCTTTTGTTGGGCCATTCATCCAAGAAGCGATGAACAGTCTTCTGATTCTGAGGTTCTTCTGATTTCCCCAGTCCCAGCATGTAGCAATCTTGATCTTGCTGGTTCGTACTTCCGCCAAGGTTCTGATTTTGAAGCTGCAAGGAAGAAGAGTACTCGGTGGACAAACCAGAGTAGCTCCTCTGTTTCGAGGAAGACGATGAGTTCATTGAGAGTGGGGTGAGATGCCACGAAGAATCTTCCATTGATGAAGCAGAGAAGCTTCTCATCGTCCCAGAAGGCTCTGTGAAGAAAGCATGCTCGTCCACCTCTTCCTTCAGCCCATCATAAACATAACCACTATTCCTACTTCACCAAACACACAAGCAAGCAAACAAAAATCACTAACAAAGAAACATGAACCAGGGATCAAACGAGAAGAAAAAGAAAAGTCACTAACAAGTGAGAAGCACTATCATCTTGTAAAGAGAAGCTGAAACCAGATGAAGAAGATCTTGAAGGCTGGTGATTATAGAGGAAGGAATGATGATTGTGGGTGGGGTCAGATAGAGGTGAGAGGGATGAAGAATGAGTTGTGAGGGATAGTGAAGGAGTGTTGTTGCTTTTTGTGATTGTCGAGGAATTTGTGTTGTTGGTAGGCGGGTTTAACGTTGTTTTAAAACCTTGTTGTTGTTGCTGCAGAGGTTTTCTCAAACGGTTATTTCCTCTGTGCATGTGTCTCTCGCAGTACTTTGAATTTGGGTAAGCTTCTTTGGAGCACCTCCACTTCTTCCCATCCGTTCTTCTGCACCTCCCTGGTTCTGTGTCTATCTTCCTTCCCGGGCCCATCTCCAAGTAGTTCCACCCAACTTTTAATTAACATAACCCCATTAATTCCTCGAACATCCTTAAGCACGAAACTGTTATATAAGGCCTAAATTCATCCACAGAGAAAGAGAGAAGAAACAACTTACAGTGCTGATGAGGTGGGAGAGACAAGAGCCTGGAAGAAAGAGGAGAGTCGAGAGAGGCCCTTTTGATGGAGAAGACGAGATCAGGAGGAATAGGAATACCTGAAGCCATGTACTTGAAAACAAGAGCTTGATGCTCAAGCTCTTGCCACTGTGATGGAGTAAAAGGGAACCTGTTCCTTCCTCCGTTCATCACGAACCAGAGAGTGGGAGATAGATACTAGGACGAGAGAGAGAGAGAGAGAGAGAGAGAGGAGAGACGAAAACAAAACACAGAAACGGAATCACAAGAGCGATGATAGGAAGCAACAAAAGAAACAGATCTGGTTTAAATTAGCACACTTGACAGTGCAGTGCGGAGTCGGCTTTTTCGGTGAGCAATAGCAGCAGGGTGTGTGGGGATTCTTCTCATCTCACTTCAATATTCAATGTTTAATAAAAAAAAGAGAATACTACCACGTTATATATGTCGAGTCAGATATGCGTATGGCAGTATAGAGATGAGCATGAATGTAACATGGATAAATAGGCGATGGAGGAGTAGTAGAGTAGGTATATTTATTTCAGGGACCATTGGGTTGCAGAATCTTCTGTACATGAATAAAACTAGTGGTTCTGAATTCAGAGGTGCATGCCATGCCTTTCTCTTTCTCTGATCTTATTATGACTGCACCTCTCTGATGATACTGCTTCTGCAGGTGCAGCAGCAGAAGCAGCAGGTAAGCTGCGTTTGTGTCAGGCTCTTGTCTCTGATATCTCCACGGAAATCCTTAAACTAAAGGGGGGAGAGGGGGGAAGAGAGAGAAAAGCAAAGACCCCAAAACAAAACAAAAGAGGGAAATAGTTTTTATTGGTATCGCAGCTTGTACATGAGAGGGAGAGAGAGTAGTATTATTGAATTGAAGAACTGGTCTCTCCCAGAAGGTAATGCCTGTCTGAGAAGATTGTACGGTTTCAGCTTTTACTGCTACTAACTCTTTTACTTTTTCTGTTCCTTTACCTCAGAGTCTCAGACCCCGTCACTCACCATCTCCTTGCCTTTTTCCATCTCGCCATATTGAGAGTGCCACTCACTCACTCCCACTTTTGGCCCTTACAGCACACACACACTCATCACGTTACTGTTCCTAGTAATTAATAAACTGGTTGCAAGGTTCCCTCCAACAAAAGTTATCTGTTGAACTCTGTTTTTTAATTAAGCCTAGCTATGTAGATTATAGATTAGTTTAATGATGAAAAAGGGCTGCAAAGCACGTGTTAAGCAACTTGGTCAGTTTTGTTTAGGAGTGGCAGAACCGCAGAAGACAACATAAACTAAGGGCATGTCCATATCATGTTGCGACAATAGACTCATAGGCTTTCCTGATATATTATAGTAGTATCATGTTTTCTGACTGTCATCAATTTCCCAAAATACTATACGTTCTTCACAGTCAAACTTATTACTAATTGCTCTCTGCAAACCTTGTTGTTATTATTAGTACAGAGAGAGAGAGAAAGAGAGGTGGTAATTAATTAGTTGGGTTAAAGCGAGATAGAAAGAAGTAGAGGGAAAGGGAAAAGATTAAAAGTGATGGATTTTGTGGGTGGTGGATTGCAGATAAGAACGTGGAGTCAGGAAAAACGGGATGAGTCAACAGAAGGTTTGAAGAGATAGAGAGAGAGGCAATGAACAAGTTTGGTTGGATTGAATTCTGTGGCAACCATTCCTGTAATGAAAACAATGGCAGGGACAGTACTGTACTGTTATGCATTCTTTAGCACTCTTCTCATCCTCCTGCCACTGGTAGGTCCATTCCTTTTTCACTTTTTTTTTCCGGTTTAAGAAAATACAAAAAAATTACAATCAAGTTCTACATGAAAAAAATAATTACTAAAAAAATCTCAATAACAACCTTAACAGCCTATAATGACAAGTCTTATAGCGAGAATGATAACCTCTGAAATTTGCTTTTAATTATTTTCCTTGTTTGTGACTTCATTATAATCCTTTCAAGAAAATACTTTCTTTTTTTTTCATTTTTCTAATGTCTCGACTTAAGCAAAGTTCCAACTTATTGGGTGGTTTTCGGTCAAAAAAAAAATATTGAGTGTTTGGGAGGGCTTTCTTTTTCTTTTCTTTTTTTCGTTTTTTGAATTAGATGGGTACACACTACCACAATCAGTATGATATTACAAATGAGAATTTTTTTTTTACCAGAACAGTAGAAATGAGATCGTACTTATAGTCTCTCACTTACAACAAAATTTTCATGTCACGTAAGATTATAAGGTAGGGGTGAATAAAATCGAATCGTAATTGAATACTAAATCTAACCAAATTTAATTCAATTTTT